TTGAATTTTAGTTTGAATTTAATGTAGGATGTATTTTGCTTTTGAAACCAAATTAATTGTTCACTTGCCAGTAATTTACAATCACCAGAGGAGATGCATTGTTATGCATTGAAATATGACTGCAATTGTTAAGCAAACCTTATGTTTTGTTGGAATATCCTAAAATAAATTCTCTCTCTATCTCTACACACACACACACCCTCTGTATGTATGCACAACACTGCATTCATCAGTTGTGTGAACAACAGTGGCTCAAAAAGCCAGCCATTGATCTGCATTTGCATCTGGTGGAAATTGAGTTTGATCATCATCTTCCAATTTGCCTTTTTATACATAAAGAACCAAAAAAATAGTTGGGTGAAGAAAAATTATACCAGAACTCATGAACATATGAGAAGAGAATTTTCCCATTTGATCAAAATGTTTCAACTTTTGTTGTTAAGTTGTTGCCTTAGAAGGAATGGAATTATCTTTGAGGTTACATGTGTGGAGGGTTCAAGCAGCAAGAAAGAATATGTGTGTGTGTATATTTGCACATGCATGTAGAGGTATATCAAAAATACAAATTATTTGAAAATCTTTTCTTTAACTTACATATATGAAATCTAGGCTATGAATGGAGAATTCTTTTTTCCTAAGAGCGTCAATTCAAAACCAAAATGGCCATTTAGATGGATATGCATGTCAATGTCTGGAAGTAGAAAATTAAAATTAACTACAATAATGGATTAATTAAAATAAAGAGAAAAAAAATAAACAACTAAAACGAGTTGTCTCTTGCTCTCTATCTCAGATATGAATTATTGCCTCTTTTTTTTTTTTTTTTACATACTAGCAGGAAAAGGAAACTGATCAGTTTATTTTGCCCATATAGGATCTTCTCATGCAGATTGACTCGTTTAAGACATGCTTTGGAGATGCTGATAAAGGGCGAGTTCATGCCTTTTGGGTTTTTTGTTTTCAGCTGAGAGCCTTTTATCTACACCTTTTAGGGTTAATGACATCATCATCCCTTCCTTCCTCAATCCAAGAAGTTTCATCTGCAGCAGGAATTACTGTCTCCATGGCAACTACAGAACCGAGTGAAAGATTTCTTCACACTGAAATACTGCTTCAACAAGCTACATGTTTTTGCAAAGAAAGCAGTTTCACCTTTCAAGGTCACTTCTTGTGGGAGCCAGAATTATTCATATTTAAATATCTGGCAGAGTAAGCTGAGATTTTAAAGTGTAAAATATAAAACCCATTATTAAGACCCTTAGTTGTTGCAGGAAGCACTTGAAAAAAAAAAAAACAACAGCTCTGGTGAAAAGAGCAGAGATAATTTTTTGTTCCACTAGTAAGTACAAAAAATCGTTTTGTTTACATGTTAGATGGTTGGGAATAATCCTGCAGCACTTAAACCTATTGTTAGTGCAATTCAAGTATCATTCATTTCTGTCCACATCTAACAGTTGTTCATATTGTAAATAAAGTTTCTCTTTCTTATTTCTATAAGCAGTGAGTGCTTTTGTGGTTTCTTTCTTTCACTTTCTTTGTTTACATTAACCTTCATATCAGACTTGTTGTTGCTTGTTCTTGAATGCGAGGAATTTCTCAATCATACACTTATAAGTTGCCTACCTCGGTTGCCCCCCCCACTTTTCTAAGTTTTGTAGAGGAAAAAAATCAGTGCAGACAAATTACATTGTTCTGCTAATATTGATATTAACTCTTTGATTTTGTTTTGAAGTTAACCTCTCTTGATTAGAACTCCACTACTATGAATAAAAAATTATTCCGTTTAATTTAGGGAAGTAACATACTTATAGTAAAACTCGTTCCTCAGTTGTGTACGATAGTGGTGTAGTATGAAAATAAAGACGCTGCTTGAATTTGGCCCCCCCACTCCTCCGCAGGAAAATCTCGGCCCCCAACTTTCAGAGTTTCAGAATCAACACTGATTATCGTCCCATAAACATTCAAGATTGTAGGTTTCAACTTCCAATTTATTTTTCTAATATATCTCATTTATATATATATACACACACACATATCAAAAATATATTAAATAATGAAGCAGAGAAAAAGAGAAGATTAAACCATCATTTACTAACATTTGTAAGTAGCTTGATATAACTGATCCTTTCTGTGTTATTGGAAACATGAAATTTAAATTTGTTTTTTAAATAATAGAAATTTGTATTGCACTGATTAATTTTATCATCATTTTTGAAAATGAACTGATTTAATCTGACAAGATCACCAGAACTGATGGCTATCAAGTGTCTATATATCATAAGGATGCAGGCAATCATAAAATTGTGATTGATTATTCATGATTCAAGAATAAATATTTGAGCATTCTTTATAATCTTTCAAGTTGCTCAAATGTCCAGATTTGATCCACACTTTGAGATGAGCTTGCATGCAGACATATTTTGTTGACAAAGATTTAGCGAGATTGTTCAACCTGGCAATTGTGGCTGATTAAACATTTAATACTGACAGTTTTCTGTTTTAATTTTTGGTGGTGGTGGTGGAGGAGAAGGAATTACTTACATTGTTCTCATTTTTATTGTTGTTATCACAATGTGCCTTCGAGTCTTCATCAGGCTTGTGACCTTTAAGGAACTTTGAACTGAACCTTTTATTTCATCTATGGGGTTAGATTGTTCTCTTGGTAAGCAGCAACAAAGGTAGGTTTAAGTCTCCAAATTGCCCACTCAGGATTATCTGATGAGATGGTAGCTCAGTGAGTTAAGGTGTTGGTCCATGAATGTGATCATATATTAATTATGAGTTCAATTCCTGTGCCCAGGCGTGTATAAATGAACAGAGTGGAAAGATTAATAAGAAAATTCTGCTGTGATTGATTAAAATTTGTTGGCTCAGATTTGTGATGTCAATAGGAAACTTGAAATTTTTTTTAGATTTAAAACTGAAAAATTCTCAAAACCTTTGTCAAGAATTCAGAATGACCAAAATCTTTAACCATTCAACAGTTTGTTACTCTGTTCAATTGACAGTTTTGTCTCAGACATCCTATTAATGTCTCCTTTTTTCTATCCACTCCATTTACTGAGAACTTATCCTTTTTTCTCTCCACTACCTGAGTAAGGAATGGAACTCAGAACTCAGTTTTCAAAGTGCCCATAGAACTTAATCCAGCACCTTATCTACTCACCCATCTTCCAAAGGCCTCTTTATCTTGCATTTTTGTTAATCTTAAATCTGATCTTTCTGATTTAGCCTTAATTTAAAAAGGGCTCTCCTTTCCAAATAAGGAATTGATAACATGCAAGCTATTTCAATGGACAATAACAAAGATATGATACCAGTATAGCAAGGATGAATTTAAGACTTAGCAAGGGATTGAACTCACAATTTTTCAAAGAGCCCACAATGTTTACACAACACTTATATCCACTTGCCCATGTCCCCTCGGCCACATTATGATCTGCTTTTTTAAGCCTAAATCTGATCTTTCTGCTTTATACTTCTAAAAGTCATGTTTCCTTAATAGATTCTATATGGGCAAGCTGGTTGATGAGAGAATAACTCAGCTTTAGGACTGCTTTCTGCAGGGATTGAACTCACTATTTTTTTTAAAAGCTAACAATGCTGAACCAACACTTTTATCCATTAGCCCATGTTCCAAACTTATATTCTTTTCCTTTTTTTTAAGCATTAAACCTGATCATTCTCATGTAACTTTAAATCCAAAAGACTGTCCTTTTCATGATAATAGCTTATATATATATATCCCAGCTGAGATTAATGAAGCATTAACACTAGCTTATCCAGGATTTGATCTCACAACTTCTGTACATGCTAACAAAGCTCCAACATTTTTATCCACTTACCCATCTTCCATGGGCCACTTTATACTTTTCTTTAAAAGAAAAAAAAAAAAAAGTAACAAGGAAGACATCACCAAGGTCCTCTTTCTCAAATCCCTACATTTTGCTTGATCTGAGAGAATGAAAGTAGTAGTTTCAACTTATAGCAGGCAATAGCTTACTAAGGGATTGAACTCACAACTATCCAATGTGCCAACAAAGCTTGGCAAGTACTTTATTTAATGGTCCATATTCAATACATTATTTTATGGTTGACTTTTTCTAACCTTAAATTTGATCTTTCCTTTAACATAAAATGAACACTTTCTTAAAAATTTCTATGGGTTGATCTGTAAATAAAACTATTTTAGTAGTAACTTAGCTAAGGATTGAACTTATAACCTTCCACAGATGCAACTGAGTTTAACTAGCACTTTATCAACAAGCCCATGTTTCCATAACCACTTCAGGCTTACTTTTCAATTCAATTAATAAATAAATTAAAAAAAATAAATACATACATATGTACATATATGCATGAATGAATATCTATCTATCAGCAAGCTGATCAGAGTTCCATCCATCGAGATGCTTTTTGCATATGTTAATCCAGTGATTCAATTCACAACTGTCTGAAGTTCTAATTGAGATTTAGCAATACTTTTTATCCTCTCAGCCATATCTTGTAGGACACTCATGACCCTATTTTGGGTGCCTTTCTTATTTGATGATCCCTGATCTACATTAATCTGGGGATTTTTAAACGAGTTCACACAAGGGATTGAACTCACAAACTTCCAAAATACATGTTGAACTAGTACTTTCAACCATTGGGCCATGACACTGAAAGGCTGATTTTTTTTTTTCTAACATCTGTTTTTTCTGAATTTCCTTCCTACTGCATATCAGTTGGGGGTCGTGGAAAGTACTCTCAAGTAACTCCACTTACCGTAAAGAACCCAGTATAATTCCTTGGTGATATGAGCACTTTCCATAGATTTATCCAGGACACGTTTTTCTCACAAGCTACTTACTTTTGTAGTAAGTTGGATCCTTACTAGATGCTCTACTTTTGTGGCCTTATGCCAGACTTATAAGCTCAGCATGGTAATGATTTATCGTTATCTCTTGTTCTTTCTAAAACGTTTTAATTTTTCATCCAAATTGTTTTTTTTTCAGATGTATTTTGAGATATGAGGTTGAATTTTCTAAAAGTGACTCCTCTTCTGATTACGTAAGAATCAACAAATTCAACACAACTCTAACTGCGTATGTATTTGCACCAATCATGGGTAAGTAAAATCTGTTCATTTTCTCAAATTTAGAAACTTTTATTTTCTTTTAAGACTTTAGTTTGAGATGAGTACTGTATGATTTTAATTAGCTCATAAAAACACTTGAGTTATGATGCCTAACAACTTTCTTCTTCTTTGGGACATCACGGCTCTCCACAACTTCCTATCCTATGTATATCTAAGCAATGTTTGTTCCCTTACTATTCCTCCCAGTGCCTATTCTACCATCCATCCATCCATCCATCCACAAAAACTCACTAAATAGGTTACTTGATGTTTCTAACTTTCCCCCCTCACCTTCAATGTATTGTGTGTCAAATTCTCCAAGGACACTTACCTAATTATGTCTCAGAAATTTCAACTGTCCCTTTCTGATAGGTATAAGTGTCCTTTTGGTACCCATTTTCTTGAAAACTTGCTTTGTTGCTCACTTGTTCCGTGCTATTCTCATCATTCATCTGTAAAACCACATCTTGGTTGCTTCAAGTCTCTTCTTCATCTATGAAGTGATTGTGCAGTATTCACTACCTTATACGAGGACTAATGTGACATAGCAGTACTGCACTCTTTTCTTTAATGGAAAAACTACATTATTATTATTATTATAAATAATATCTTAAATATATTTGTTACATTGGCATTAATGCCTCTAAAAATGCCGATTTACTTGATTTTTAAAGCATGACAGAGAGTGACTGTCCAAACATTTTAAAACAGAATTTTCTTGCTACATCATCAAATTCCACTTTTAAATACTAACATTACTTCAATGATTACCTTAATTCATAGCCCCAAGAATAACTTTCAGAGGTTTTGTATATATTACCTAATTACATAGTTTTTTCAATGGTTATACCAAAAAATCTATTCACTTCTTTCTATATTTTTACGAATCGTAAAAAAAACAAAACACTCCTATTCAACAATTTTTGAAATTATACAAACTTGTTAAATATTCTCATAACTTTAGAATATCTTGCTTGAGACACAAAATTTTCATGTAGACTCTGAAAATAGAAAATTCACAATTTAATAAAAAATTAATTAGAAACAAAGAAAAGAGTACTGAACTGTGTTATGTAATATCAGTCTTATATGGCAGTGAATAGTGGACAATCTCCTCACAGCTTAAGAAATGTGGTTCTACAGAAGGATGCTGAGAATACCATGGACTGAACATGTAAGCAATGATGTTGAAACAATAAGGACACTTATACTTAACATCATGAAGAGATAGTTGAAATATCTTGTGCACATAATGAGGAAAGAGGGTTTGGAAAATTTGACACTCACAGAACAGATTGAAGGCAAGAGGGACAGAGGAAAATCATGCATAACACACTTAGTGAGCTTTAGTAAATGAATGGCAGGACAGGGTTTAGGAGAAATAAGAAAAGAAATTTATTAAGAGCTACAAAGGACTGGTAATTGTGGAGAGCCATGATTGCCTCCATCCTGAAGGGACATGGCTCATAAAAGAAGAATTTTCTCCCTAAAGCGTCTGAACAAGTTTTCTCATACAATTTAGCAATTCTTTTCTCTTTTTCAAGTAAGTTAATGTGAAGTGTACACAGAGCCTAGATGGGAGCAGGAATAATTTCATGGTGAAAAGTTTGAAATGCAACTGAATTTAAAGCTATTTCCTGTGGAAGCCAGGAACTGAGCCTTATTTGAAAATCAGCATCACCTTCTTGGACCACATTCAATTTGTTCATCTATCTGGCAGATTTCATAACAGATTTAAAATATCTACATTTCTTGGAAAATTTGATACTCACAAGATATACTGAACGCAAGAGAGGCAGTGGGAAAGACAAAGTCACCTATGTAATGAGTTTGTATAAATTGATGGCTGAACAAAGTGGGAAGGCTGATAAAAAGAGCTATAAAGAATAGGAAGTTGTGGAGTGCCATGATCACTAATGTCCTGAAGGAATACAACAAATAAAAGAAGCAGAATATGAAAATATTTTCTTAATCAAATATATTTCTACATTCTATATCCAAATACTTTATGATCATCCTTCATATACTGTAAATAAATTAAGTGATTTTTTTTGTTTTTCTTTCAGATCAACAAGTCACTGAAAATGAGTTAGTGAGAGGATATTATCGAGTGAAAGCTGTTGATTATTGGCACCGATCTGGCAGATTTTCTCGTCCATTTTACTATTCTAATTGAAATTGAGGACCTCATATAGAGCAGTGGTTAACATGCTGATCTTGCAAGCCATTGCTAGTGGATTTGATTCTTGTTTGGAACTCTGCAAATCCATCAACTGAAATTGAGAGAGGAGCAAGCTTCAAATTGGGAAAAATACTGATTCAGAGAAGATGTCAGGAATGTTTACATGCCCCGTGTGCAGATGCAAATGTAACTAATGTCAAAAAGTTTTAAAAGAATTTTGATGACATTAGGGACAGTTGAAGAGTCTGTAGAAACTCAACAGGAGTTCTGTTGTATAAAAAAAAAAAGAAATAATAATATTTATCAATGAAAGGAAATGGTTGTATTTAAATGATGTGAGAAGAGTTTAAATGATTCAATTGTTTTCCTCAGCAAAACTGAGATAAAACATAATAAGTCATGAAGTAAAGTTATTTTAATTCTTATACAATCAAGACAATCTCTTCTAAATGTTTCCACTGTGAAGTGTACAGCCATAGCCTCACCACGATAAATATTGGTTCTGTGATTTCTGTAGTAAGTAGGTTTTACAAGGTGGAGTTGATAGCTCAGCATCAAACTAGTTTTGAATTCAGTGTTTTTTTTTCTCATAGATTGGTTGCCAACCAAATCTACAAAGTCCAATCTACCATTCTTAACTCTTACTTGCCAGGTATTTGTGTGACTGGAATTTGAACTCAACATACAAATCCCAATAGGACCAAATTATACAAAACACAATTTGTATCAATATATTTATTGTGTAACATTTTTCATAGGGTGAACAGATACTACATTCTTATCCTAGTCAGAGGACTGATGTAGAACACTTCAAATCTAGGTGGAGTGTACAAATATTCTGATTCTAGGTCCTGAGATTCTCAACCATTTTTCATGCCCCATACTCTTAGAAAATATTTGATCAATATTCAGACAACCCCCCACACCTAAAAAAAGAAAAAGATAACATCCCATTTGAAGATAAAAACATCTAATTTATAATATTTTAACCACAAATCTGACTGAGGATTGATTGACTGTATTTTATGGCTTATCAACCTTTACATAACTGATGGTAAACAAATTGCACTTAACAAATAACTCAGCACAAATGCAACCAAAATTGAACAATTAGATTTTAATTTTATTAAAAGAATTGTGAATAGTAAAATTAATCACAAAAATGAACATAAAATTTAATAACATCTTTATTTCTGCTTCTCATTCATGATTTTATCAAAATGTGGAACCTGTCTGCAGATTTAGCTGATTCCTGCATTTTGCCTTGACTGACAAAAGAGAATTTTGCTGCAAAAGGAATGAGGATACAGAGTGCTTTCCCATCAATTCTTGAGAACATATCCAGGGCTGTGCACCAAAATTCCTCCAAAGTCTTGCATTTCAAGAGCTCAATTTGTCTGCAAATCAGTAAGATCTTCTTGACACACTACAGATGTGGACATTCTAGGTTAGTAACTCCTGGTTCAGGTAAAAGTGATGATCCATATGTAAATAATTCTGTTAATACTTAGAGATAATTTACTGTTGCTAATAATAATAATAATGGCTAAAAGAAAAGTGTGATTTTAAGAAAAGAAAAACAGTGCTTGACAATGTTAATATTTCAACAGAATATCTGTCTAAGTTATATTTAAAAAGATTTTTTCAAACATAAAAGTATAAAATCTACAAAAAATAATGAATCCATGTCTTTGGTAGAGAATTAAGCTTATTCACTTCTAATATGGTCTTATAAAATATAAATTGCTTGATATATATTCTGAATATAAAATTTCAGCTTGAAATTTTTAAGTCTCCATTTTAAATATATTTTATACACTTTCATACATTATGAAAAAATTTTGATTAAATAAATTCTATTTTTATACTCAGTTTTGTTCATTTTTTTTTTCTAAGACAAAACTAATTTGAAGTATTCAATCTTGATGTTTCAACTGAAGGGAAAACTATGCTCTTAATACTTTCACTGATGCATTCTCATATTCTTATAAAATTGTTGCATGACTGTGCTGACCCATTTTGGGAAGAACTGAAAATTGCAATTTACTGTAAATAAATAACTAGAGATGCTGGCCATGATTTCTCATGGGCAGCACCTTTTGGGTTTTTCGATAATATAAACTGTAGTACCAATTAAGCTAAACGATACAGAATCCAATATAATAAAAATACATCACATAACGAGTCATTTTGTATACTATAATGTCTATACAGGTCTGGAAATAACAATAACAAAAATGCAAAGGACTGACATTTCACATTGTGACACAATGGCATACCTGGCTGTAATCAAGACATCAATATAAAAGTGGGTGGTAAATGATTCTTTCAGAGTTTGTAAAGTTTAGTGTTTTTATGACTACATAGACAATAAAATCTCTAAAGTAAAATTTTCAAAGCAGTCACTCACTAATCAAAAGAAAATAAATAGATAAATAAATGAAAACTTACAGTGTCACTTGGATGGAACTTAAAAAATTCCGCCCATGGCCAAGTTGTGAAAGATGGGCTGATGTGTGTTTATAGAGTCAGAGTACTCACTGATTGAAAAAAAAAAAAAAAGTTGCTCCATTATTCTGTTATGACAGAAGTAGCATAAGTGTCACCTACAAGCCTCCCCCACAAATATTGCAAATGAATCCCTGAATAAACAATTGGGAGTATTGGAAACAGGATTTTGGTTTTCATTTTCACAC